ACCTGGCGCCTGCTGGCCCTGGGTGAGAGCCCACCCCTGCCCTGGCGCCCTGCTTCCTGCCCTGTGCTTAGGCCTCTGCTCTCCTCCTCAAGAAAACAATCGACTCCAGCAGCTGAGAGTCCAGGACAGGGCTAACAAGCTTGTCGGCCAGTGTGCATCTGGAGAGAAGCTCAGCTTGCTGCTGTACTGCAAATATTGTGTGTTTCTTACCTGTGATTTGTGTGAGCTCCAGCTCGAGACTGAGAGGAACTCCCTGAATCACTAAGCCTAACTTTTTTTCTCTTAAAATTATTCCTACTTGGAACCTTCTCCTGATGCTTGTTCCTTTGGTATCTAACAACTCTGAATTGTAAAATGTTGTCTCTAGCTTTCCCCCCTTAGTATTCACAATTCCAATATGCATGTGAAGGAGTGAGTCTCTCCCTTCCACTGCATGTTAGGAAAGTAAAGTTTTCATTTTGTGAGGTGATTTCTCTCAGCTCTGTTTAGTTGGAGTGTTGGAACTCTCTTATGGTGCCTTGAATTACACTTTGGGCTGCAGTCTCTGTGAACAACAAATAAGCCCAAGCACTTCTTCATTATTTTTGATTTTGATTCACATGCTGCTAATTCTTAGGTGACTTAGCTTGCATTTTCTTTTAAACGTGAAGATGTTTTCAACTTAGATCTGCTGCTTCAGTTCTCAAGACCATTTAGGTGATCTAATCTGTTTTCATATTGACAACAGATTCTAATGTTGCTAGTCCCTGTACAGTATTGGTTTTGTGGAGGGATCATGTCTTAAGTTTCTCCAGACTTGGACTTTATCTCTGCATGTGGCTTGTCCCAACCCAGCTTCTCCTTCTTAACTCTTCATTTAGTATGTTATCCCATGGACAGAGGTCCAGACAACAGCACCTTGTCTCTAGAGGAAAACAGAATAGTTTTAGGAAAGAGAGATTATCTTGGAGCAATCTGCTTGTGGGTAAATCCCAGTCTTGTGTTATCCCACTTCTCACTTTCTCCCTTCTCTAATCCTCTGCGGTGTGTTAGTCTTGCCCTTGCAGCCTGATGGTTGTCCAGCCCTGTTGCCCTTTGCTAGCTGTGAAGGCTGCTTAAATGACTCTCCCCCAGCTTCAGTCCCTTTCAAGTTTGTGATTTTTATTAAGTATTCCCAGAGTGAGTATTACAAGGTATGTGATTTTTATACCTGCATTTTGATTCTTAGCTTTTTGGGGTTCTTCCCCTCATTCTGATAATCCTACCTACTGAATATTTAAATCAAAAGCATTAATTCTAGGCACGTTTTTAGTCTCCATTTCCCAGATATATTTTGTCTTTCCCACCTTTTTTATTTATATAGGTTAACCACCCCCTTTTTTCTTTGTGGTGTTTTTTTTTGTTCTTGTTTTTTGTTCTGTTTGGTCTTGTGGTGTGGGTTGTTTGGGTTTTTTAGGGAGCTAAGACTGCACAAAGGTTATTGTTCTACTTGCAGTTATGGTGGCTCTGCCAAAAAAGTGAATCAGTCACTCGGGACCGGCTGCGGTCAGGCACAGCTCTGCAGCCTTTTTTGAGGAAGGAACTGAAGGTATTTGGAGTGAAAGTTGATCTGTGGCACAGCTTAAGCTAAGCTGATGACCTAGAAAAGAAAAATCACATGAGCAAGTGGAGAGGGATTGGAGCAAGGTTTAGTTAGCCCTAGTGAGGTGCAGGGTCTGTGGATAATCCACGTAAATTGGAGGAGTGTATGGTCTTTTGTTGCACAAAAATGACTTCTGTGTTACAGCAGGTAGTTTCTTTTGAAACTAAACTAGCTAATTTAGCTATCCCTAGTGGTGAAGAGTAATCTGTGGATTGTATATGGATAAACAATATGCAGTCCTGTGGGACACAGGAGGTATCCTATGGTAGTGGAAGTCCACTTAATTTTCTTTTCTATACGTTGCTTCTCAGAAGCCATGTGTTTTGAAACATGCTTAGAAAGCTCATCAACAGAAGCTTCAATTAATGGGTTAAAATAGGTTTTCTAAAACTTCAGAGTTCTTGCTTTCCCAGCTGCCTTAGCCAACTTGTGCTGCAGCTCTTGTACTATTTCTAGAAGTGCAAAGTGAGGCCTTTGTGGGACCAGTGCCATAGGCTTTGATACACAGAACAGTGAAAGAGCTGTGATGTCCCAGCTTTAATCTGCTTCCAAAATCAGTGGACTCTTGAGTCCTTGGTTGTACCAAGAACATGGTACCTACAGTCTCTTCTCCAACAGCACTGCTGCTGTTGCCATAACTAACAAACTGAGTATGATGGTGTCAGTGGTAGTTGATGCTAGTGAGCCCTGGCACTCCAGGTACTCCCCGTGGTGCTGTGCTTCTCTCTGCAGGAAGCTGGCACAGGACCTGCTGACCACTGCTGCCCATAGCTGGCACAGAGCAGCCCTTGCCCAACAGGGAATGGGGTTGGGTTAGTTCATTCTCCCCATTTCACCTCATTTTCCTTGACTTGCTGTTAGCTCAGCTGCTAGCTGTAGCTAGTGATGTGTGTGTTCCATTTAAGAGGCTTAACATACTTTTGTTTGTTTGTTTGTTTTAAAATTGTAGAGCATGAAGACTTTTTAACAGTAGCAGAGTCTCTGAAGAAAGAGTTTGACAGCCCAGAAACCTCAGACCTGAAGTTCCGTGTGGATGGGAAGTACATCTATGTGCACAAAGCTGTCCTGAAAATCAGGTAGCCAGCATGTTTCACAGCTCTCATGTGTGCAGGGTGACCTCTCAGTGTTGCATCTAAGAGGGGGAGAAAGTTAAGGGTTGGAGAGGGACCCCTGAATCCCTAATACATAGCATCTATATATCCATAATCACTTTAAGTGTTTGTAAAAAGCTGAATCAAAACTCTGTCTTAAAATGGTCTATGTTCAGTTTTCCCTAAGCCTGTTTGCTGTTCCCAGGATAATAAATCCTGTTCAGTTGTTCTGATTGCAATGTTTACACAGACATTCCTATAGCATAGATCAAGTAAGAGTTTTGCCTGGATCTGTGAGAGCAAGAATGCCCACAGTACCAGGAACCAAACCGTGGGCTGCTGGCTGTGATGGGGTGTGGTGGAATGTCTGTGGATATTGCAGAGTGCCCCGTGACAGATTTCAGGGGGACTGTAATGTAACATTCATGTGTTCATGTAACAGTCTTCCAGATGATGTCTTTGTCTCTTAGGTGTGAACACTTCAGAACCATGTTCCAGTCATACTGGAATGAGGATATGAAGGAAGTGATAGAGATAGACCAATTTTCTTATCCTGTGTATCGTGCCTTTCTTGAGTACTTGTATACAGACAGTGTTGACCTTCCGCCTGAAGATGCAATAGGTATTGCTTCCAGTCCCATTCTGATAGACAGCCAAACCCACAGACACTTAGCTGGGGGTGCAGAATAAATGTGTTTATATTATAGAGGCTTCTGGTCTGCCCTAGAACGGGTTTCACTGGTGGTTAATCAAGCTGTCTTTGAAATACTGTTGTAGCCAACTTACTACAGCAAGTGTGGCACAATTAGAAATAAACGGAGCAGTTTTTTCAAGCTTGGGAGAGAAACTATTTCTCTGAGTTACAAAACATGCATGTTTTACTAAATGGAGTCAGTTATTGCTTAGGATGATATCAGGGGAGCTCTAGCTGGGGCAGCTCAGCCAGCAGAGCAGAGAGCACGCTGTAACCCAGGCACAGATGTGTCTCATGGTGGCTTTTTGCTCCTCTCGTGGTGCCTGTTCTGTGACAGCTCTGCTCTCACAAGCAGGTACACAAATCAGCAGAACAGCTTGTGTATTTACAGAGGTTAACTGCATTGTAGCACAGGGGAACAAAAGGCCTTTCTTCCTGTGAAATACATTTTCCTGCAGAGTGACCTGGTTGCAGGCAGCAGGTTAGAGACACGTAGGAGGTGGCCCAGGGAGTGCAGATGTGCCCTGGGAGCATGAGCTGCTGCTGGGGAGCAGGGGTCATTGCAAGAGACTGAAATGATGGCTTTTTAATTGCAGGGCTTTTGGATTTGGCTACTTCGTACTGTGAAAATAGACTGAAAAAACTGTGCCAGCACATTATCAAGAGAGGAATTACTGTGGAAAATGCATTTTCATTGCTCTCTGCTGCTGTCAGATATGATGCAGAGGTAAATTCTAAACTTCAATCTCTTAAATAGTGGCTGCTCTCTGACCTAAGCTATGGAGAAAAGCAGCCAGTTTTGTTCTCAGATAAACTCTCTCTTGCTGTCAATAATACTGTTTGCTGTTTTCAGAATTAGAGAGTGTTAGACTTAAAAAACCTGTATTTGCCTTGAAAGACTTTTTTTATTCCCCATAAGCCAGTCCTGGGGTGGTGAACTGGTACACAGATACCTAAAGACAACTCAAGGCTACAGGCTGAGACTTGGTGTCTGTAAATGTTTGCATTGCTTCATTTGGTGGTGAAAGGGTATGATGCTGTGCCAAGCTTCAGGAGTTACTGCTCCATGGGTGGGGACTGTGGCAAAAAAAATCAGAGGATGAAAACACTAACTGTGAGTCAAGGGAAGGGTTTAAATGCAGAGCAAAATCCCTAACCTTACAAAAAGCAGTCCTGTAAGCCTTAAGCTACTTCTTTGCAAGGCTGTGTGTGATGTCCTGTGGGAGCAGGTTTGGGTAGGTAGGGGTGCATTTGGGTTGGTTTTGCTGCTTATATTTTGCTGCTTATATTTTGGTGCTTCATCCCCAGCCACTGGCATGCAGACAGATGCCTTAAGTCATTTCAGGGCCTTGCTGTGTGTTGCTGCTTTGATGCACCTTACCCAAAGGGCTGTGTTGGGGGCTGCATTGTGGCTTCAGCTCCACAATTTCTTCAGTGGGAGATACATGGAAAATAGGAAGATTTCCATATTTTAGCCTTAAAAGATTGTCTGCTGGATGGATCTTCAGCGTGTGATTGATTCCACATGCAAAGGGTGGGAGTAATCCAACAGCTCTGCCTTGGCTGTGCCTCACTAGCTGGATGAAGTCTGAGCTGTAGGCTTAAATGCTGCACGGAGGCCTGGGCAGGTACACTGGGGTCTGGTTTTTAGTGAGAAGTGGGGTTTGCAGTAATGCCAGGCAGGGCCTTGGTGCTGCTTGGGCAAGGTGGTTCCTCTGAGGGGCTGTGCCTCTGGAAGACAGCAGGTAAAAGAAGCTGCTTCACTGATTTAAAATTACCTCCATGACATGAAATTCTCCTGTGCTTTCTTCTGGTGACTGATTGAGCTGACAGTGGCTGGAATTAGGTCAGGTCTGGCTTGATGTAGCTTTTACAACAATAATTGGATGTACCTGGTGCCTTCATTCACTTAAATCTATATTAAGTACAGTTTGCTGGGAGTGCATCCATCACAAATGAAATCTGCCTTTTTTTATACAGAAGGTAAAATTTTCTGAAGTTACTAATATTACAATATCTGTTTATTGTATGCTTCTGTTGCATTGACTTGGAATATGATTTTTTTTTTTAAATAAAGCAGTGCAAAACACTTGAACGTGTATGATGTAATTTTGTTTAAAATGCTAGTTCATTCTGCTGCTTAAAGAAGAAACCCATCCGTGCTCAGTTCTAATAAGCCTGTCTTTTTCTGTTGCACAGATGCCACCCAAGTCAAGATCTGCAGCTTCAGAATGCCTGGTTTTAGGCCAGGATGGGTGTTTATATTACTGTTGTGTCAAGAACTCCCCCTGGCACACATTGCTCTAGCTCTCAGTGTTCCCTTAAGTGAAAAGCTGAGCACCAGGCAGTCCCACCTGGCTGAGGGAGCTCTGCAGGCCTGTCGTGCCCTGGGGAAGGGGCACTTTACCCCCTCAAACGTGGTGTTGGGAGCAAATAATCCCAGGGGGAAGTGTTCTGTGGCCAACCTTGTATTGGCAGCGACTGTGGCTGGGTTTTTTAGACCTTTCTCTCTGCCATCCTGTGGGTGCAGTGATGGTTGTGAGGCTTTTCTAACCATTAAGTGGAAGGTGCTCCCAAGTAGACTCGGATATCTAGGGTCCACTTTCTGGAAGGATTGCTGTGCTGTGTTGTGCCACAGCACTTTTGGAGCCCTCAACTAAGCAGGCAGTCAAGCAACCACACGTGTAGATTTGGGGTTCTGTTACAGAACAGAAAAGAGCTAAATTTCCTTAATGCAGAGTCTTGGTTATCTGTCATTACCCCAGGGTCTCCTGTTTGCTTTGGGTTTTCATACCTCTCAGCAAATGCAGATGGAACTCAAGTGAGAAAACTTTGGAAGAATATTTAGCTATTGCTTGGAACAGCTGATTTCTGTGACTGCAGCTGCGTAGTGAGGAGAAGTGAGGAGAAATGAGGAGAAATGAGGGTTACTGATTCCCCTGTCACCGCGGTGTGTGGGTGGAATTAGCCTGTTGCATTTACAGGGTGGCTGAGGGGGGAGGGAAATACTGAGAGCCACTGGGTTCATGTCTGTGTCCACTTCTCTGGAAAAACAAAGCATGGCCAGGCCTCTGTGCCTGAATTTGATGTTTTTGTGATGGAAGCAAAGATAATAAATGCTTTGCTCTTCTTTTTTTTTTCTGTTTAGGACTTGGAGGAATTCTGCTTTAAGTTCTGTGTCAATCACCTGACAGAAGTGACACAAACTACAGCATTTTGGCAGCTGGATGGTCCCCTGCTAAAGGAATTCATTTCTAAAGCCAGTAAATGTGGAGCCTTCAAGAACTGAGGTGAGGCTGTGAGTAGGGGGGCTGCTGGGGCTCCTTGCAGTTGCAGCAGGGTGTTGTAACTGTGGGGGTCCCAGTGCAAACCAGTGTTTCCTGTGCTCCAGAGTGGACTGCTGTGAGAACATCAGGCAAGGTCCTCACGGGGGTTTGGCAGAGCTGGATGGTGGAGCCTGCTCAGGGGTTCAGCTGGATAGAGGGGCTGCAGCAGGCACTGAGCAGTGCTGAGGACTTGCCTTTCTAACCCCTGCTCTAGCACCACCTGCCCAGGCTTTCAGCTGGATCCTGGGGGCTGGAGAACAGTCTGCCCTGAGCCACTGCATGGTGCTCCACCAGCCTGTAGGTCACAGGGAGGTGGAGGGCGTGGATGTCCCACTGCATTGGCGTGGGTGGGCATGACTCTGCCATCTGCTGTGTGTCACTGTCCACCTGTATGCCCTCCTTGGAAAGTGGGCAAACAGAGTATGTCCTCAGAGCCTACACAGGTGGCTCTGAAGGGGTAACCAGCAGATCTGTCTTTGGGTATACCTTAAAATAAGTTGTAACGTGTACTTTGTGTAATCCCTTCCAGCAATATTTATAGTGATTAATGGAAAAAAATTCCCTCGTGGTGACTCCATTGGTTCCCTTGGAGGGGAAGGGATACAGTGTTCTAGAAGTGGGGGGTTTGCATTTAAGTGTTGTATAAATTGAAACTACATGTAATAAAATTCACCTTTTTTTATACCTGTTTGTTAGCAAACTTCTTTTGGACTTCAAAGACAAGGAGTTCTGCAGATCTCAGCTTGAGGTTATGACCACTGAGAATGGTGTGCTGTGGATGGAGACCAGGGAGCTGCTGAAGTGTGAGGTGGGGTTCAGTCGAGGCTGGGCTGACAGTGCTGCCTCACGTGTCATCAGTGCGTGTGAGGACCTGTTCTGGGTCACAAACTCCAGACTAAAGGTTGGGGTTGGAACAGAAGCATCCAGGACTTGTCCTCTATGCTTGTCACTAATCCAGACTGCTGCTGTCAGGGGAAAAGTGCTCACGTGAGCTGTTGTGTGGGGACAGGGGCTTTGTTGCCAAACCCCACATAACATGGAGCCTGGGGTGAGCACTTTTGTTTTGGGGGTTTCTAGGCAGAGCAGCTGGGAGGGGCATGCAGGCAGCAAAGCTGGTGTGTTGTTCTGTGGGCACAGTGGTGAGTTCTACCCTGAGACCTCAGACGTTGAGAAATAAAGGTGCAGAACAAGCCTGGGTTTATTTTTGCTGTTCCTGGGAAGAGCAGAGCTGCTTTACCAGGGTGGCTGTGGGGCCTGTCCTGAGAAGGGGTGAGGGCAGTGGCTGCTGCTGGCCCTGCCCTGTCCCCAGCAGGTGCAGTCAGGGGTGTGACAGCAGCTCCCCACTCAGCACCACACACTCAGCTTTCTTAAAAATGGTTTATTTTGTTAACTTACCCTCTGGTAGCTAAACAATGCTCTTCTGTATTCAAACAGTTTTTTAAAGACAAAAGATGTGGAAGTCCTATCCTTTCTTAAGGGAGAAAGGAGGATAGAGTCCCTTGTTTGATCCCTTGTAGATGGTGCTGAGTGTGTGAGGCTCAGCAGCCCTGGTCTGCCTGCAAACCCCACCTCACCACTGCAGCAGAACCAGGGACACGTCAAGCAATCAGGACTCATTTAATAATAAAAAATCCCAAACTCCTGTTTATAAGTCAGAAGGCTTCTTTGAGTGCAAGTTCTGCTCCTTTATCTTCTTTGGAAAGTCAAAGCAGCACTGTGGTCCTCTGAACGTGGCAGTCTGGCCAGTGCAGCAGCCACTGCACACAGTCTGGAGAGGGCTCCCACTGCTAAAGTGGCTTTTAACAAGTGCTCTGTGGCAGCTGATGCTCCCTTGTCTTTGAGGAGGAAAAAGAAAGTCTTGCTGAGCTTTAAAAAAAAGCTAAATCTGGTGCATAACACTCATTGATTCCACGCTAAAATTTAAAGAAAGGGAGGACTTAAAATTATTGCAACAGTGAGGTATAAAAATGAGTACAACACCCAGTCCTTGCCTGTGTCCCTGTCTCAGGGAGGAGGGGAATTACTTAGACACCAACCAGACGTGCTCCATGGTTTCTGTCCTTAGAAAATCCTAAGGACTGACAGGATTACAGGGCTGGGAGCGACTCGGACGCTGTGCTGGACGTGCTAGCAGAGTTCTCTGGGGTAGGAAGGATGACTTCTTTTAAGTCCTGCAGCAGCTCAATCTTGGTATCCAGTCTTTTTCTGCTTTCCAGAAGTTCCTGGATTTTCTCCTCTGTTCCTGTTTGGAAAATGAGAGAGTGAAGCTTTTATTCCTGTGTGACTACTGTATAGTGTGCTCTCAGAACTAGTCACACTATAGATTTAATTGAAACCATTGCAGTTAATTGAGTTACTAACCTAATGTTACTTGGCTTAGGGGCTTTCACAGTTCTACTGCCAGAATCCTTTCGTGTGGGGACTCCTTCAATAAAGATGCATTTTAAATTTGAGGTAACACCTAACATAAACTACTAAAGCAAATTTACAAGCCTAATGAGTTTTAGCTAATAACAACACAAGTTAAACCTAAAAAGAGCCACTTTTGGACAATGCATTCAGCAGCTAGCTTCCCATAAACACATCCCCAGAGCACTGCAAGCTCCTGACTCTGGCAGAACAGTCACAGCCAGCACGTGGAGGGGACTGACCGAGCCCCTGCCTGGCTGCTCTCCTGCTTCCCTCCACCACCTCCTTTTCCTAAAGTGTTGGCTGCTGTGGACATCACGGGGAGCCTGCAGCAGCCTCACCCTGACCAGTGTGCAGCAATGGGAGGGACTGGGCTGTGAGAGAACCTCCCACCTCCTCCCGGGGGTAAAGGGAGAGCACACACCCTCCTGTGCAAGAGGGATGGCCTGAGAACAGAAGCTGGGCTGACCGTGCCCTGGGGGCTCTCAGTGAAGCTCCTGCACAGCAGCTCCAACAGGCAGCACCGCTGCAGATCCCCTGGAAACAGACCCCACCCGTCACCTCCTCCCGGGGGTAAAGGGAGAGCACACACCCTCCTGTGCAAGAGGGATGGCCTGAGAACAGGAGCTGGGCTGACCGTGCCCCTGGGGCTCTCAGTTCCAAAAGGCAGCACCACTGCCACTCTGCTGCAGATCCCCTGGGAACAGATCCCACCCGTGGCTCCTGAGCTCCTCGGGCAGGCTGCTGACAGCAAAGAGGAGACACTGGAGGTGTCTGAGCTTCTGCCCCAAGCAGGACACACCACAGGATGCACCAGAAGTCACTTGTCCCTGGAGGAGAGAATGAGAACCTCCAGCCCAGAAATCCGGCACTGCTCGTGAGGCCAAGGCCCACAGGAGATGTGTGAAATGCAGCCAAGCTGTGTGCTGCAGAAGCACTGTGTTCCCCTGTGTGGGAAAGGCACCTGAAGAAGCACCACCAACGGCTGCAGGGCAGGGTAACCTGCTGTGCTGGCATGCAAGTTCCACAGCAGCCTCTGCACGGGGAGCCAAGAGGTGAGAAACAGAGAAAATGACAAAATGGATCAGAGGTGAAGTGTGTCAGGTGACAGAAAATCATCACTTCCAGGAGAAGGAACAAAGACAGCACAGCATTGCTACTGGTCCTGCTTTGTTTACTCCTAGGCTTTGTCATCAGAAACCTGATAGCTTGGAAGACAGATTAGGTCCCAAAACAACAACAAAACTAAACAAAACCACAAACAAACGCATGCAAGCCAAGCAGCTGGGGACTTCCTTCTCTCCCTACAGTTTTACTCATGGCTAACATGGTTTTCACTCCTCAGAGGTTCATTTTAAAACCTCCTCGGATCAGTTTTGGGACCAACCTTCAGGTGCATTTTCATTACTGACCTTGAGATCAAGAGTGGGGTGATGGAGCAGAGTGTGTGGCACAGAACTGAGCTGCTCAGGTGCTGGGGACTGCAAAGGGGACTACACGTGACAATCACGTGGTCTGTGCACGTAGGTGCCAGTGTCAGGAATCCCTCCTGCAAGCTGAGAAGGGGATGGAAGAACTGATGCAGCTGTGGAAGAAACAAGTGTGATCCAAGGTTGTGTCACACGGGGGCTTCTGAGCAGAGATGTCTCAGTGCCACTAGATGAGGCCCTGGCAGAACCTCGTGTCGGAGAACCGCAGCGCCAGTCGCTGCCTCTTCCAGCAGAGGAATTTAGAGGTGAGAAGAGGAGGCTGAAGAGCAGCCTGGCTTCTCAGCCACGGGGAGGGGAAGCAGGAAAGACCAGCAAATGTCACCACCACGGCCTGGACCTCAGCAGTGGCTCAAAAAACCCATGTCCCCTGCCACAGGGAGGAGTTAAAGGGGAGCTCAGAGCCAGGCTGCTGGCTGGCAGAGCGGGGAACGGCAGCAAGAGACGTGGCTGTCTGCAGAAGTGTTAACCTCACAACAGCAGAGACAAGGCCAAGCCCCAGAGCCTCCTTCCACACCAGTGCTCCCCAGCAGCCTCCCCTGCCCTCATCATTTCACTCTGAGCATTCTCAGCCTGTTTTTCAAAGCACATCCTAGCTGCCACCAGGTGCAGGAGGGTTCTGCTCGCAGGGTTCAACGCCCTCACTGAGCACAGCAGCACTCGTGCCAGCTGCTGAAGAGAGGCTGCAGGGAAGGAAGGGACAGCACCTGCAGAAACAGGACTGGGGTGCAGCCTGCAGGGGAGGGAAGTTCCTCTTTTAAAAGCTGTGGAATTGGGGCTTCCCCATCCCCTTCATTAAGGCTGGAAAATACCTCTAAGATCATTAAGTCCAACTGTCAACCTAGCACCACCATGACCACTAACCCATGTCCCAAAGTGACACATCTACATGGTTTCTGAACCACTCCAGGGGTGGTGACTCCACCACCTCCCTGGGCAGCCTGTTTCAGGAAAGAAATTCTTCCTAATATCCAATCCAAGCCTCCCCTGGTGCAACTTAAGCTCATTTCTTCTCGTCCTATTGGTGGTTACCTGGGAGAGGAGACCAACCTGCACCTCACTCCAGCCTCCTTTCAGGCAGTCATAGAGAGCCATCAGGTCTCCCCTCAGCCTCCTCTTCTCCAGGCTAAACAATCC